CGCCCCAAACAAAGTTGTAAACACACACACACCCACACACACACGCCCGTCAGGCACGCGCGCACGCACACACAAGCACTCACTCACACACGCAAACACACACGCACAATCGCACAAACACCAAGCAGTTGGCGATGAAAACAACCTCAAGTCGCCTATAGAGACGTAGCCCATCACACGCTAGGCGTCAAGGCAGGGCCGCTAAGGTGCTGATAAAAACCTGAATAGGAAGTGCAATATCTTTGTAGTAGAGAATCTTTGGCATTACGGCATGGAATTGCGTGCATAGCGAAGTGGAAGTATGATACCTTTCATGCAATTGCGCGCGTGTATACCAAAAAAATCTATCGGTGCATGCAATTGCGTGCGTATAGCAAAAAATGTATTGGTGCACGCAATTGCATGCATGATATAGACACTCCCCTCTGGCATATGTGTTATATGGGGCCCACCATTAGAGCCAAATGAAGGATGAGTGAGGGAGGGTACGCACTTCACACACTTGACAATAATTTAATGAGTTGAGTTGCAATTACAACTGGTGTTTTGCTGTGCTCCAAGGTTGTTGCTTCTACTACTTTCGTTTTTAAAAATTATACTAATCCTTTGACTTCGCACTACCGATGTTTTTCACAGAGAGAATGAAAAGGAACAGCCATGCGTATAAATAGTTTAGTGCTGTCAAAAATTCATTGCGCGACTTTTTTTCAAGAGTATTTTCTCGACTAGATCTATCAAACATAGAATCTCCAGCCTTTGCACAATGACTTATATCAATTTCTTTAACAGATCAATATTTAAAAAAAATCACCTGTTAGCTGTATTCTATGGTTTACAGACAGCTGAGGAAATTATGCTTAAAAGCAAGCTCATCATTTTTTTCTTATCACGACGTATATATTAATGCTTATTGAACGCATGTTTTGAGAGCCTTTAGTGCACAATGAAATTAATTTCTTGTAACAATTTTTGCCACTAAAAAGTGTCATTAGAGTAAGCTGTGGGGTAGCCATTATGAACGTACGCTGTGCCAAATGTGTGAGAAGCAGGAAGTGCTGTGAATACAGAAGACATGAGTTTGATTTTGATTACTGTGTGAGTTGAACATTTTTAGTATCTGATGTCCATCTTCCTGCTGGGACGTTGGACAGAACTCTCTTACCATGTTGGCCCTCCCTGGATGAGAAGAAGCAGCTTGCCTCCTAAATTATCTTAATTGTGACGATGGAGGCATTTATAACAATTCATTTTTTTTTTTTTTACGTCTAGGGCTGGCCTATTCTTGCAGAGCTGGAGCAACCCACCTATTAATATAGGGGTTCTTAACTAGTGTGTTGATGGAGACTAAATGCTGCAACACAAATATAATGAGTTGCAATTTTTCTTTTTCTTTTTCCATCTTTTCATGTGGGTGATTGGAAGGCGCCAATTGAAGTTCCTACTTCTTTACTTTCCTTTTGTTTCTGTCTGTCTTAATATTTCCCAGCACTAAATGACTATTATTGTGTTGATTTTGCTTTACTCAAACTACAAATTGTCTTTTCATGGACATGGAAGGTTCCAGCAAAAGTCGTGTAAGCCCCAGCTCCTCCCCGGAAGATGATGATGCGAGGTATCGTGCTGTGGCGGGAAGGGTGTCATCTTCAGGCTCGTCGACTAAAGTTGGATCAGGTTTGATTGATTTGAGTTGCATAGAAAGAGAAAAAACTGGAACTGTATAGTTTGACAAGGCTATTAACTTGCTTTATTTATTTAGTTAGTTGGAATGATATTTATTAAAAGTACCGGTACAGTCAAACTTCTTTATTAATTATACTGATGTGCCCTAACCCTTCTGCCCTGTTTACCCCAAGGTTTTGCAAATACATGAAAAGGAATGCCTCTATATATAAACATGATGATACTCTTTGCCCCTTTAAAAATTAAATCACGACCCGCCAACTGTCTTGAGTGTTACGGTCCTTGCTAAACTAATTTACAGCGCAACACTGCCTGTGCACTGGCCGCTAGAGGTACGTACACACTACACATATGATATGACACCCACTCGGCAGCTGTGCATTGCTTTCTCCCATATATATGGCTCTGTGACTGTGAGCTAGGACTTGTCGCCGATTTGCACCCTCCCCTGTCTTGTAAATTTCAGGCAGCGTGCATTTGAAAAGTTGCCCCAGGTCAGGCAGTACAGCTAATTATTTTTTTATTTGAATTTGCGCGCGCACACACACACACACACACACTCACACACAC